ATCGACCAAAGCTTTTCTAGCAATCTCAGCTTGCTGCGATATAGGCATGACATCCAAAGCCGGCATCGAATCAATTGCTCCTCCAATGCTAGGACTCACCGACGCCGCTCCTGCAGCTGCACTTGGAACACCACCATAAACAGACGCTGCAGAAGGAACAACAAACTTGTGCTGTTGAGCACCTTGCACAACAGGAACATCAACCCTCCCAGACCCTTCATCCATTCTCTTCCCCAATCCTTTCCTAAACTGCTCTTCTTCCCACATCTTCTCCTCCTCATCATCCTCCTCCTCCTCCTCGCCCCTCAACCTCACATCCATCCTCCTCTCCCCCCCCTCCTCAAAAACCCCCTTCCTCCCACCATCCCCCTTCTCCCCAAACATCGCAATCCGGCCCCGAAACTCCGGCTCCTCGTCGCTCAGCCCCTCGGCGGCGCCGTGGTTGCTTCCTCCGTCCAACGAGATGTAATCCGCCGCGGCGGGGCGCGCCAGCCGGAGGCGCTCCCGCTTGGCCCGGATAGCCTTGATGGTCTCCTGATCGGGGAAGAACGAGTCCTTCCCATTCTGAATGCCTACACTAGCCAATTTGGCTTCAACCTCTTTGTGTTGTTCCCCTTCGGAGTCGTCGGAGTCCCGACCCTGGGGCTCCGAAGCTACGGGCTTGACGAGGCCCTTGAGGACGATGACAGGCTCGGAGGGGGGTTTGGGGTCGGGGCGAGAGGAGCTGGGAGTGACCAAGGTTCGCGTGTTCTTCTGGAGCTCCCGTAGGGCTTCTTTGGTGTAGGTTCCAGCTTGGGGTTGGACGTTGGAAGGGACCGAAGGGGAAGAGGAATGCGCGATTCGGTCTTTGAGAGTGGTGATTTTGTGGGAGGAGGAGGGTTTCGCGGTGGCGGAGCGTTGGGGTTTTGCGGAGCGAGGACGCGGGTTTTCGTTTTCTTCGTCGTCAGCGAAGCTGAGGAGCTTGGGGGCTTGGGGCTTCTTGGGCTTGGCGGCGGCGGAGGAGGGCTTGGTAGGGAGGGTGGCGGCGGCGGAGGAGTCACCGTCGTCGTCGTTGGCGTCGGAGTCGCCGCCGCGGCGGCGGAAATTGCGCGATTTGGCGGTGGACATTGAGGGTTTTGGTGACCGGAGGCAACGGTTGAAGTGAATAGTGGGAATGCGGTGCTTTTTTCAGTTATGGTTATCAGTTCGTAAGGGTTCGGTGACTACGGGGTTTGATTTGGGCATTTGGCACGTGATCTTGGTTCGTTTGGTTCGGTGATTTGATTTCTTGTAGCTCAAATCACAATCCATCATGTTGGGCCGGTTTGGACAAAATATATATTTAGTTTTTATTTTATTATAAAAAAATTGTTTTGATCTTTTATTTTTTTTAAATTTATTTTGATTTTCTAACTTTTAAATTTATTAATGTTAATCTTAAAAATAGTGGTAATTTATTATTTCAATGTACAATCTTAAATTGTTTTTAATGATTTAAAACGTGAAGTTTGTCACACCATATTTACTTAATATTTGAATTAAGAAGTTTGGGATGTTAAGTTTATAGGATTTAACTGATATTTAAACTAAAAAGTATCATAATTATGATGGAAATTATGTAAAAAGTTAGCAATTTTTAAACTGAAAAAAAAATTAATATTAGATTTTGTTTTTAATTGTTCATGTGACTCACTTTCATGTGATTTTATCATTCTTTGTTTTAAATATTAATTACGTTAAATATGTCAATTCATGAATTAACTAAAAAAAGGATTCAAAGTTATGTTATAAAATTGTGACAATCATAATTTCAAGAAGCACTGTAGTAGAGAACGGTGGCTCATGTAGTGGAAAAGGTTCTACAAGAATTGAAAATTTTCAATTCCTATGGTAAAACTTATATTGTGACAACAAGTTTGCAATATCTATAGCACATAACTCAGTCCTACATGAGACCAAGTAAATGGAAGTTAACAAGCACTTCATTAGAGAAAAGATAGAAAAGGAAAAATATGTATTACTAATGCTCTTACGATACAATAATCAACAAACATCTTAAAGAAAGAATTATCCAAAGAATTCATTGAGAATATAACACATTTATCAATAGGAGAAGCATCCTATTTCATTTATTGAGTTCTCCTTCAAGATCTTGATGAAAAATAAGAAACCTTATTGGAGAACTTTCCATCTTTGGCAAGTATGGCAAGTACTTATGTTGTTTCACTACATTTTTTATCCAATGAAATGATGCATTAAATACTAGTATTAGGGAAGTACTCATGTAGGAGCGACATCCTATTACATTTATTAGTAGAGTCTTGTTCCCAAAGAATAGGTTTTGTTTGTTTATGATAAAGAGCTCTTGGCATTAGTACATGTTGTAAGGAAGTGGAAGCAATACCTTTCTATTCAACATTTTACCATCCTTACAAACCAACAAAACCTTAAACATATGCTTGAACAATGTTTATCGACACCAACTCAGTATGCTTGGATTACAAGACTTATGGGATTGAAGTATGATATCAAATACAAGAAGAGCATGAAAATGTAGTAATGGACGCCTTATCCAAAGCTTTTCATAGGAAAGTTTTACAAATTTCAATTTCCATAGGCTCAATGAAGTTATGGCAAGAAATACAAATTGCTTATGCAACTACTTAAAGAATAAATTCTTAATGATATGAATGTGTAACAAAAGTATAAAGCCGCTAAGGGGCACTATTGCAAAGGAATATGGTGGTAATATCCTAGAATGATAAACTATGGGACAATATTTTATATTGATTACATTCTTCCCATGTTGATGGGCATTTTAGTGTTCAAGTTATCAAAATATAAATTAAATAAATGCTTCACTAAGAAAGGGTTTATTACAGACATCAAAAGATTCATTTAGTCATGTGAAACTTGTATTAATGCAAATATGAAATAGTGGCGACTTTGGGCACATTGCAAACTTTTTTAATACCAAAAGGTGTGTGTCAAAGTCTATCTTTGGACTTTATTCAAAGCTTCCCAAAATAAAGTGGCAAGGACATTGTTTGGGTAATTATTGATAGATTGTGTAAATATGCTCATTTCATTTCGTCGGCTCATTCTTTTATTATCTCCAAACTTGCTCAAACTTTTATGAATCAAGTGTTCAAGTTAAAAGGTGAGCTAGCTAACATTGTGAGTAATCGAGACCTATATCCCTCCATCATTTGGGGGTTTAAGGGTGTCTTAAAGCCTTTCCTCCACATATCATACATAACTAGATGGAGAAAGTGAAGTCCTCAACTGATGCTAAGAATAACACTTTGATACTTTGAGCCTTGTCAAGTTTTGCATAGAGTGGGACATGTTAGCTATACATTGAAATTGCCTTATTATTGTAAAATAAATCCTACTTTTCATGTCTCACTACTCAAGTTTTGTAAGAATAAAGTGTTCCCTTAAGACAAGCCCCAATAAAATGGGGTCATTTAAACATACAAGGGAACATATGAAAATTATCGATAAAAGGATAGCTCAACAACAAAATCGAATTGTCACCCTAGTGTGAATACAATGACAATGAGACTTGAAAGTGACCATAATTTGGGGGATTTGGTTCCATAATCAATAGAAATATCATCACTTTGTTGCAACTTAGCACCCTTGAGGGTAAGGGTGCATTTGAAGGGAGGGGACTATTGTTAGGCACTAAATATATTATTTTATTTCATTCAAATAAAAAATGGAAAAAATGAAAAAGTATTAATAAATATCATTAAAATATAGAAATAAAATAAATTTTAATAATATTATTAAAATTGACAAGATCAATAAATAATTAAATAAAAGAAAGAAAGAAAGAGAAATAGAGATATGAGAGGGAGAGAGAGAGAAGGGAAGGTAAGAGTGAAGGGTGGAGGGAGAGAGATAGAGAAAGGAAGAGAGAGAGAGTGAGAGTGAAAGAGATAGAGAGCGAGAAAGAGAAAAAAAAGAAAATAGAGATATTTTTTTTAAGTTAATCACCTATACATCGTCGGTGTAAAGTTTTTTTATACTGGCAATATCTTTTAATTGTGTCATGTCACTATAAACACATTTACTTTTAACAGTGACATGACACAATTAAAAGATCTAATTGGTTACTAGTGTAAAAAAAAACTTTACACTAACAGTGCATAAGTAATTAACTTTTTTTTTTCTATTTTAAAAAGTTTATTGTGATAGTTTTATATACATAAAACTTTTTTTTTAATTTGAAAAAGTTAGATTCCTACCCCTTATCACAGTGTTTTTGTGAGAAAGTGGAATAAAAATAATTCCTGAAAAATTATATTTTTAAAAATCTCTTTTTTTTAAATAGTTAACAAATATGAGAAATTAAGATTCTCATTTTAAGATTTTTAGAAATATAAGAATATTCTTTATATCAAATGGTCCCTAAAATTGTTATTTATTTATATATCTAGAAATGGTTTATTAAAATCACAGGAGAAACGAAAATACTTTATTCTCTAAGGTTTAAGTAGGAAAATCCCGTAAATATCTACAATGCGTCATCCTTAACCCGTTAACATATTGGATAGCTTCTTACATGATTACGATTAACTTTATTTAGCAATCGACTACGTAACAACAAGCACCAGTGGTCTAGTGGTAGAATAGTACCCTGCCACGGTACAGACCCGGGTTCGATTCCCGGCTGGTGCATTTACTTCTGTTTTCCATTTTGCAAAATTCCAAATTTCTGTAGGTTTTTGCTCTACGCGCAGAATTGACGAAGACATGTTATGTTACATCAAACTTCTACAAATACAATTGCTATTGCTATAAACTATGTAGAATTTGTAGATCCTATTACACATACAATATTAATTGTAATCGTAAATCTAATAAAAACATTGTTACACAATTCAATACACTGACTTTTACATTTGCAAAATACAGGCAATTTATTTTATCCACTTCTCTACTATGATGTAAATTTGACAGCGTCAATGTTTCAATTGTGCCTTTGACATCGTAACCATAACAGCAGCATCTAATAATAGTGGGGGAATCAATATCCTATATAATTCCATGCACCAAAATAATACTGTGACACATTAGGAGCACAAGCAGAAACTAAACTACTACATAATCAACAAGGGGAGGAGTTCCACCAAATTCCAAGAGTCACTACCACATTAATAACTAGTAGAATAAAATGGTCCACAAGAACAAGAACAGACAATTTATTTTACTAATTGTAAAACTACTTAACAAAAGAAGCTTATTGTTAATATATTAGAATTTATCTACTGTTATACCATCTCTAGTAACCTCGTATGCTTCCCTTTTCCTTGTTTTCTTCACGCCAGCCGTGAAATGTAGCTTTGGTCCCTCAGATGAAATGGTGGTCACTTTTACCCAGATCAGCACTTTGGTCTTAATTCCCTCTACTTCTGCTAGCTTTCCTTTCTCCAAATAACCACTCACAATGGTGGCAAATCGCAGGATGGACGAATCCCTGAAGCCCACTTCACACACTTGAGGAATGTAAACGACAAGCTTCCCTGTTTCTTCATTAAATTCATAGTTTGTCGCGTCACGAGGAAATATTCCTATGGGTAGATCGAATTCCTTTAGCAACTCCGTTAATGGCTTTTGCATCTTCCCTGTGAAGCAATTGTTTAGAGTTAGAGAGTAATAGTAATAAAAAAGGGGGGAGTGACTGTGATTGAGGGGTATCTTATTTATTTTGATTTGATTTGCTAATGGGAGGTGTGAGATGAGGATAACTGGGGAAAGCAATGGGTGGAGAAGAATGTATAAATCATCTTTGAGAGGACATAGCAGATTTCTGAGATTCATATAAGTGAGATGCTAGTAAATTCAATGTGTAATTTGTATGTACTAAAGATCAAATATAAATATCCTACTTCCACTTGCATTGCCTAAGGAATGATCAAATATTAAAATTCAAAAGATTTATTGTACAAGATCACTTGGTCATAAGTCATAACATGACGATGCATACTTACAATGCATGTTTTTACATTAATTCTATTTCAGATTTCAGAATGTTATAAAGTCTTCTCAGTGTATCCTATTGTTATTCAGAAAAGAACTGCAAATATATATTTTCCTATTTACAAGACTTACCCCTGCCTGCACCCTCAACTAATATATGTAAAGTTATAAACACAGTTGACAGTGATTTTGGAGTCAAAAAAAGTTGACAGTGATTCATATCTCAAAATACTAAATTTCCAAATGTCAGTCCAATCCACTCATCATGGAGGACTAGATCTCTTAAATTCTGGTCAAATGAAAATCAATTACATATACGATTGGTTCATATATGTATTAATGGCCTTGGCTATAATGCAAGGATTTTGAAATTTCAACACATTTATTTATTAGGGATTGATTTAAAATAAAAGAAACCCCCCACTACAGCACATATTTCATAGCGTATATTTGTACAAATGTTTGAGCAATACAGAGAAATATTGTAGATACAAACCTTTTAATTTGTTGACCAGCCATTTGGTTCCCCCTTCAATACTGGTTGACAGTGACTAATCAACAATGGCAAAGTTGTTAATATAAACATAAGCAATGAAATGTCTTCTCAACATTTGTTGTAATCTATCGGAAACATTACAGCCCCAAGATGCACAAATGAATAAAGTGATTTATTTCATTAGCATGAGCATAAATCATTCTTGAGCATTGCAGTAAAGAGAAATGAACACCAGACAGCACCAAAACTAACTTTTAAGCATGCATTGAGATAATTGCATACTATTAATTGTTACAGAGACACTCACTTCTTCTAACTTGGATAATCAAAATTAACAGCATCATTGTAGGGTGGTGCATCTCTCACTTGAATAACTTATAATAGTAAAAAATTCTCAATATGGTTCTAGAAACATAATCTCGCACAAAATGGTACCAACTTATATGCACAGGTTACAAAGCTTCTCTATTCCTCTTGTTAATTCACAATCTAAATTTCCTTAATAGAAATTCATAGTCACCCTACATCTTAGAGGTGACAAATGAATTCATTTATCCATCATTCATCCAATCTATCTACAACTAAATTCATCCAATCCATCCATTACAATAAAAATAAATAATGGATCATATCCAATCCATTCATTTAGTTTTATGGATGATTAGTAATTCATCCATTACTTTTTCACAATCCATTGGATTACAATATGAGATGTTTATTGGATTGAGATTTTAAACGACTATTTTGACATAAAAAAAAAGTGTCTTGTGAACATTAAAAGACTATATAAAAATGTAATGACTTATAAAGAAAAAAGAAAGAAATAAAATATTTCAAAAAATAAAAATTATTTAATTTTTAAAATATTACTTTTATGGACGGATTGGATATCCATCCATGAAAAAATTGTTATTGGATGGATTAGATGGATTTTTTTGCTTCAAATGAATTTGATGGATTGGATTTTTTTTTTTTGTAAATTTTTAATGGATCTAAATGAATTATTTTTATCCAATCCATTATGATCCATTTAAAAAATTATCCGATTCATCCATTTGTTACCGCTAATGCATACTCCTGAAAATTATTTCCTCACATTGCCCAATTGTTATTGAATCTCATGTCCCCCACGCAATAAAAGAATCATCTGATTAATTTTCCAATGCGAAGAATTGATCTCTAATCCTGGGCCCAATGCCAATATCTCACTTACTTTTAAACTTTGGCTTATAGCTTACTTCCTATTTACCAAAACCATAAATAATGCATTAAATTCTTGTTATTGATGCAAAATCTCTGAGCTGGTGTTGTAGAACAACAATCATAGCATTTTAGTATTAAGTATCTATAATTTAAAACCCCGATATCTTACATCAGAAGCAAAATGTTTTACCACATAGAACATTTATCACACATTTATAGTCAGTGTTTCTATGCAGTTCCAATGCAGTGCTTCTGTTTCAAAACCAAAGCAAATACGGCTAATTCGCTACACTTATCTCAACAGTATTTGATTGATTAATCAGCAGGGAAGAATAATAGAATATCATACATGAACATTGGCACCTTCCCCTAGATTTATGTCGAAGATATCCCATGTATCAAAAACAGGAGAATTTGAAAGTTATTCAATCTCAATTCTCGAAATTAACTATCAATGGTTTTATTCAATAAAGAACTACTAGCAACCAAAATGGGGAAATGAACTAGCACCCACAAGTAAATTCATTCATTGTGGGTGTGCAAAAGCAGAGAATTATAATCACAATAACGAGGTACCACTTAAGATTTTAAAATTTTTATCAAAACTCATACCCAAGTAATGAAGGTGACAGCCTGATTCAAAAGGGGTGCAGTGCACCTCTCTAAACATACATAAACCAAAACCCAAAATCCACTTCATGCACCATGCTTTAACCTTGTAGTACACCTTCCACCTCCCATACCCGACCTAATTTTACTTTAGCACACATAAATAAACTTCCTAAACCGTTTCTCACACCCCATCCCTAAAAAAACCTATAAAAAAAGTCACCACTTAAAAATTTCCCTTTTCATAGAAACCCAAAAAGGGCAAGCCTGCGTGTGTTCATCCACATGAATAATCCACAATTAGGCTTCAATTTCAACCCTCAACATTAAGCAAGAAACCATAATTCCACCAATTTTTCAAGAGGGGCAAACATGATATAGCCAGAACCATAAAATCCAAGTACTTGGATGAAAAAGGAATAGAAAAAGGACAAAAAAAGAAACTTTACCAAACAAAAGGGGAAAAAATGAAAAAAGATTAAAAGGGTTGAGTTGTTTACGTTGATATCATCACCGACAGAGTTAAACTCCTTGCTGGCCTTCCGGCTGAACCAGTACGAACCCACCTTGTTGAGTATCTCATCCATTGCGTTCTCTTCTCAGAATAAACAACTTCAGAACAGAACAAAAATTCTGAGAAGTGTAAACGCTGACCAAACTTCAGGTTCAGGCTGCTTTTATTTTACCTTTATTATTTTATTGTACCAAAAATAGATAGATAGATTACTTTTTCAATTACTTTGCCATGTGGATTTCTTTCCTATTTTAACTGCCAGATTGCAACGGATTTTTTTTTTTTTTTCAAAAGGATACTTCTCTTCATTCAATTTTTTAAAAAATTATCAAAAATAATATATAAAATCACCAAAAATAATATATAAAAAGTGTTGTAAATATGTGTTGTAATTTGTAATATAGAATTACTCATTTATAATTACACGTCTTCACGATTACAATTATAAATTATTAATCCCTACTCCCAAGTAATATAAGTAATTAAAAGTATATTTTCTTAGGAGAAAACTTCTATCTTTTCAAAAACAAAATTGGGATTACTCTATTTACCGTCTTATGTAACCGCATTATTTTGTCTCAATTATTTGAAAGATTGTAATTTTTTTTTTCTGTGCCAATGCCGGTTGAAATTTAAATATTTCTTGTTTTGGTAATTGTTTTTGTTTAGCTCAACACTCCTCAAATATGTGATCTTTTATTTATCAGTTTCTTCCTTTTCATTTTAATTTATTAATACAAAAAAAACTAATTATTTTAACAATATTTATCTCCATATATTAGTTATATTTAAACTATATTTATCTTATATGTAACATTGTACATATTCTTATTATTTGTTGATTTTATTTAATTTTGTGTTGTGGTTATTTAGCTATTTTCTTGTTGAGAAACACTAGGAATTAAGAAATTTTTTATGAGTTTTAATCATTTAAGAGTTTCTCTAAACAAAAGTTAAGTTTGACCTATAAGAGAAGGTATATAATATTTTCTTTAAGACTTAAGTTCTATAAGTTCATTTTTTAAATAAATCTAAAGAAAGGTTAGAGAGATTGGGGTTTAAGCCTGTAGAGAGTTGAGAATTCGAGTTGTTGGAGTGTGCAAAGTAGTTGAGAAAACTTCGCTTTCTTCTTCTTCCTTTAATTCTTATGGATTTAAAGGTAAAGGAAGCTAGATTTTTAACTCTTGTAGAATTATTTGAGTTGTATGTTGGTTGATTTTCATCAAATTGTGGTTGTGTTGGTTGAATGATTGAGATTGGGTTTTTGCTACCTATGTAGTATGTTAAGGTGAATTTGATGATTTAGGCCAATTGATAGTTGCATGTAATGTTTTTTTCTTGAAATTTAGTTGTTTATGTTGAATGGTTATGTTATTTGTCACTACATGTTGGATTTTCTTGAGTTTCAAGTGTAGAGAGTCAAATTCGTGAATTTGCTAAAGTGCATAATTCAACATCGTGTTGGTTGCAATTTCAAGGTGTCAAGTATGATGCAGGTTAAAGGATCTCTACCTTATTAACGTTGGACATAGAATTGGTAGCGTCAGGCGTGAGTTAGAGGAGAAATCTTTAATTTAATCACGTCAAGCATGGGTTGAATGACGTCAAATGTGGATGTCCTTGGAACTCTCTAGCTTGGTTACGTTGGACCCTAGTTGAGTGGCGTCAAACTTGATTAAGACAGGGGCTTTTTACCTAGATAACATCAAGTGCCAATGTAGTGACATCGGACATGAGTCAGGTAGAGGGACTCTGTCTAAACAAGACCAAGCATGGGTTTGGTCACATTAGGCGTGATTGCCATAGAGGCTCTCTGCCTCATTCATGTCAGGCACAAGTGGATTGGCCCCAAGTGTGGGCAAGTTAGAGGTTCTTTGCTTCAATGACGTCGGACACGAGAAAATTGGCGTTGAGTGTAGGTTGCCTAATGAAAAATTTGTTATTTTTTTACTAAGTATTAAATGTAGTATAGGTAAGTAAGAATGCTTACACGTTGTATATTGTTGTACGATGCTAGTTCTTTATATACATTGATCTAAGATAATGTATATTGATGATTAAATTGTTGAATGTTGAGGCGGTTGTGTAGAGAATGCTTAAGGTATTAAGTTATGTTGAGTTGATTGACTTAGGACTAGAATATAAGTTATTTTAAAAAGTTAAATATCTCATTGTGAGGATATTATATTGTAGTGTTCCGTAAGCCTAGTTGTTGAAAACCCTTATAGAGAAATTAATTCTTGAACTGGATTGTTAAATATCTTCTAAGACCTTGTTGATGTGGTATAGAGGCAAGGTCGACTCATTCTACCTATAAGTGACCATAATATAGGGGTCAGGGTCAAGTTATAATAATTATAAAGTGACCATTGTTAATTTGTATGGGAGCCAAATCGAGCCATGTGTGCAAAGTGACCAAACCAAATAAGGTACAAGGTTATAATCCCTAATTGAGTACTAAAAAATATGTAGTATTTAGAGGGTAGTTGACGAGTTAATCCCATAGGATATTTAGTTATGCATGTTAATGTCGTTGTAGGCTTACACCCAAATTGTTCTACCTTGACAAGAATACTAAAATTTTCTAGTTTAAATGGCAAAATTTGAGAAATCATGTTATTATAGATTTTTATCCAAATTAGCTATTGATCTAGCTAGTATAAAAAGATCATGTTGTTAGTTAATTCAGTAGAGTCAAATCACCCAGACTACTCATTTGTGTTGTAAAAGATCTCTTACTTGAAATGTTTGACAATACATTTAGTTGTTTTGTGGTGCATATGTTGTTTAGTTGATGAATGATGTTGTGCATATGCATGTTGTTGTTTGGACAAGTTATAGTGTTGTGATGTTGTTCAAGTTGAATGTTGAGTTGTACTATTCATATGTCATGTGATATATGACAGTTACATGATAATGTTGTATGTTGAAAACTGGTTGTGTTGTGTAGTTGAGTTGTTTATGTGGGTAGTATAGTTGCATTTTACTCCTATACTTAATATGTTATTTTCTTTTGAATGCTAATTTACCCTTGCATGTTTCTTTATGGTTGAACTATAATGATCATACTTGATATGATAGTAAGACAGAAATAAGTTGGAATAAGAGTTCGAGTTGAGAGCCATGCTAGATGGTGTTATTGTTTTCTATTACCATTGTGTAGTAGCTCTTTAGTAATTGTTACTTAACTGATAACCTAAATTTACATTTTCAGTACTAAATTAATATATATATATATATATATATATATATATAGAGAGAGAGAGAGAGAGAGAGAGAGAGATCCACTTACTCTGATAGTAAGTCTTAATTGACTTAATTCACTCAATAATTCATATTTTATATCAAATTTTAATTATCCAACCGTTAAATTAAAAATATTATTATATAGATCAAGTTTGCAAATTTTTTAAAAATGTGAAGATCATTTGCTATTTTATTTGTAATAAATAATCATAAAACATTTTATATGTTAATTTAAATTAATGAAATGAAGTATCAAATAATTTTAAAATCTTTTAAAACTTTGCAAGCTTGATCTATAAAGTAAGAACTTCTAGTTTAATAGTTGAATCATTGAAATTTAATTTAGAATATGAGTTATCGAGTGCAATAAGTCAACCAAGACTTATTATTAAAATAAATGGATTATTTATCCTCTCTCTCTCTCTCTCTCTCTCTCTATATATATATATATATATCGATGAAATTTGTACACGTGTATATAATATTGCATTTATATCTAAGTATTACTTGCATATTAACCTTAGGTAGCAATATATACTTTTTGTTGCGAATAAGTAAACCTTAAAGTGTAATAACCCAACAGATCATTATATTATATATTAAATATAAATAATTATATTGCATAAGAATATCTTTATAATTTTTTTAATGAGAGAATTTTTTAATTTTTTTTTCAATGAAGGAATTTTTAATATTTTTTTTATAAATTATAAATAATTAAAATTAATTTTATGTCACAATATATTTATCGTAAATCTAAAATATAATTTTTATATTTGAAAATATTTATTTACACAAATTTTAAATATTATTTATATATTAAACTATAATATTTATTTGTATATATAATTTATTATAATTTTAGTTATATATGATAAAAATTTAGCCTATATAACTTTTTTTTTGTTCGTCCCTGGAGTATCCACCATCGACAGTAGTGACTAATCTCCTCGCTACGTTGGAGGCACCTCAAAGGGTGGGATAGCTGGCCCCAAGATTTAACGCGGCTGCATACACAAGACAGGATTCGAACCCCTGACCTTGCTTAAGCGTAGATCAACCCCTACCGCTGAACCATACGCTTTGGAAAAAAATAATGAATATTATATTATTTTAATAATCAATTATATAATTGATTATGTGAATAATCAATTATTATAATTGATTATAATAAAATAAAATTTTTTAGTTAAATTTGTTGTTAAATGATTTAAAGATGTTCAATTTATTTGAATAAAAAAATTATCTTAAAGAAAAAAATTATTAAAAAATAATTATAAATTTCAAAATTTTAATTTTACAAAAATAATATAATTTTTTTATAAAAAAAACTGTAAAAATTGAAATTGTTATGTAAACACAATTTTTTCAAACAACCTTTAGTTTATAAAAACAGCTTAAATAAGAGAATTTAATCTCTCCTAATACACTATAAAATACTAGTTATGATTACATTTTAAAACAATAAAACGCATAGTTATGATTCAACCTGTCAGTATAATTTATTTATTTTTTAACATAGAATTGTAACGTGTTTGGAAACGTGATACACGTTGAAAAAATTACATTAGTGTTAAGGCTCATGATATATACACCTTTTTGTTTTTTTTAAGTACACCTCCTTTATATTTTTTTTAAAAATTATAAAATATTATAATTTTTTTTTAAATCTTCTATTTTTATACCTTTAATTTTCAATTTGCTACTTTCTTCTTCTTTTTCACATACTTTTTTTCTTCTTTTAGTTTTCACGTGTTACCAAAATAAGTAAGGTGAATGAAAGATAAGGGAGTGCATGTAAAAATTGAAAGAAAAAAGGAAGATGTGTCAAAAAAATATAAAATTAAATATTGTAGATGTAAAATTAAAAAATAAAAAATAAAAAATTAAGAATATTTTAAAATTTTAATTTTTTTTAAAAAAAGAAGTGTAC